TAAGTGGGAGAACTTGCACAATTGGTGGCTGACTAAATACTTTTTTTGCCCCACTGTATCTTGGCTGCAAAAATCCAGTCTATTGGCAGCAAAATATTCGCCTTTTTTATTGTTGCTATCTAGTAGTTATCTGGATTTTTGCAATACATATATGTGTGTGCAATCCATGGTCGTCATAATGATGCAAAAGGCTATTTATACTATGAAATCCAAGTCTCTGCATGGTGCAGGAATACAAATTGTTATTTACCTGACAGGAACATGACTTGAAATTAAGATGACTCCCCTCCCTTCACATAAAAAATAAACTAATCTACCCCTTATAACATTCTTAGTTAACCTTAAAATAACTCTCCCCAATTTAAAGATAAATTGGAAAATCTTTCATTTATTTAAGTATGCTTCCTACAGTGTGGTTTGCCTAGAGCTCCAAAATGTATCAACTTGCTGCATGAAAAATGCAATGTTTTAAAACTATGGGGAAAGACCACTTGCTCTCCTCTCTTCTTCCAGAGGACATTGCATAACATTCTGAAACAGTGAATCAGTTGAACCAAATTCTCTTTCCATCTTTCTTAAATGGACTCAATTGTGAACTGAAGATGGTTGAGAGGAACTATGAGACCTGTGGAAGTACATTGCTCAGCATGTCTTGAATATGATATAGAGCACAGCATATACTGTAGAGGAAGGGAAGCACAAACCACCTGTGTATATAATTAATACATATGTTTGATAAAAGCCCTATAATGAAATTTTATATGTGTGTGTGTGTGTATACATACACAAATTCTAATATATAAAAAGCAAAAAATACTTTATTATATATTCTATTAGATACATAGGTCTATTATATATTCTAACAGACCTATGTGGTGTTTCGTTACCTCCTGATCAAAAACAGGCAGTAAGAACAGGCAGTTTCGTTACCTCCTGACCAAAAACAGGCAGTAAGAACAGGTTCCAAGGGTATGACAACCCGTTTGTCCTATGCCAGCAAACTTAGCAGAAAAGGACAAATCCTGAGGGAACTCTTACATTGGGAATCGACTAAAATTGATGCAAACATCTTGCAATATGATGTGTTGATGGTATTTTCAGTAGTCATACCATAAAAAGAAAATTAGATCTCACTGTACCAGTCTTAATTAGGGTTGTGGTGTTGGGAATTTAGGAAACTGAAATTTCAATTTTTCCACATTTAATCTTTTTACAGTGTATGATATGTATCCAGCATCCTATTCTTCTTCTTTAACTTTAAAAGTTAATGTAAGTTTTGTGCCTTCAATTCAGTCTTGACTCCTGGTGACTACATGGATACGTCCATGCAAGATTTTTTGGCAACTTAACTACAAAGTTTAAAAAAAAATCCATAATCTCTTTTCCCCACATTAAGAAAATGTGTGGTTAATACGAGGCTCCTGGGTAGGAGAAACTGGTATATATATTGGGGTTTGATCATTTTTAATACTGCATGGAGACTTTTCTCCAAGATGGAAAGAAATGTTAATAACTGTTGAGCTACAGTTTGTCTACAAAATGTTTTACAGACAAGGAAGTTCTGTCTCCACTGTGGGCCATATCATAGTGCTGGGAAAAAAAACTGGCCATAAAGATTATCATTGTTTAAAAGTTACTCTAAAATAAAAAAGCATTTGGGACAATGTTCCAATACACACAGACAAATGTTCCAATACAGACGGGGAAAATGGGATTTACAACAAGCAGTTTGACATAACTCTGCTGGGCAGATGAAATTATTCTTTACTACTTTTAATGACCCAGTAAAATAGATGCTGAGTAAAAAGAATATACAAGCACGGTGTATCTTGGGAGTGAATCAAGTTAACTGAACTTCATGCCAAATAGACTGTTTTCCAGCTCCGTGAAATTAATAATTTTAATGAGAAATAATAGTTAAAACAGCATGCACTGTCTCATACATTTTACAGTACATATCTCTACACAAAGCATCCTTGCTCTGAATGAATCTTAAACTGGAAATTTACATATTATGTTTTACAGAAAACAAAATTTCTTCTTAAAAGCAGAGTGTGTAGTGAGCTTTCTACAAAAAGAGACCAAATAGTCTTAATATGAAGATGCCACAGGAATATGAACTTATATATTACTGTTATATTCCAAAGCTGCAACTCAGATTTATGGTTATGCTTATTAAATTAGCATAAGCACTTTAAGAAATTGAAGATCAAAGTGGTGGCTATGAGTTCTAACAAGATTTAAGAATGGCTTTAATCAGTTTCTATAGAGCGTATTGTAATATGCAAAAACTTCAACAAGGTTTTTGTGATGAATAAAGATAAAATCCTTGATCATAGAGTTTGAAATCATGTAAGAATATCAGGCATTTCTTGTTCTTAATACTGTATATTATTCTGTAGCTCTTCAGTTTATCATCCTAGGATTCTTTCAGAGACTCTGCTGCCAATTTCATTTGCTGAAAGGAAATCATAAGGCATAAACATTAGAAAAGTTATGCAGACACCATCCATTTATAGAATGAAAACAATAGTCATTTCATCAATATTGCCTCAAATTATTCTTTGAGGTCACTGAAAAAAATTAAAGCATCATTCCCCATTATGCTCCAACATAAATGGTTGGGTGACTGGGATAAATGAAGACCCATTTAAGAACTTTGTATATTAGCATCAGCGGTATGAACATGGTTCCATAGCAGACAAGCAGCCAGAACAGCTTTTTACATATTTAATATGTGGACAATAAGGCACCCTTTTCTTTCACACCCCTAGTCTGAAGCCTAACTGCTCTGCTGTGTTTTTCCAATCAATTCTAAGGGTAGCTCCCTAAGATGTGTGCTACTTTCTATGGTTATTTTATTATAGTCAGGAAGACCAGCAAGAGAGATGAATATCTGTTCCTAAACCACAATTTCATAGTGGCACTTGTTGTTGTTTAGTCGTTAAGTCGTGTCCGACTCTCCGTGACCCCATGAACCATACTGCGCCAGGCCTTCCAGGCCTTCACTG